TTATAGCTAAATAATAAACCTATTAAATGAAGTTTAAACGGATTTGTTGGCAATTACCAAACACTTTTGGCAGCCATTATAAAAATCACAATAGAAAAATTTCGGTTATTTATCGAACGCACAAATATATAACTTTTCGGGAAAAGTAGCGCTAATAACGGGTTCGTCTTCAGGCATCGGTGCGGCCACTGCTCTACTATTGGCTAAACGTGGGGCCAATGTTGTAATCACTGGACGTAATGCCCATAATGTGTCCAAAATATGCGAAGAGTGTACAAAATTGTCGCCAAAAAAATCTGAAAGCGCTTCCAGTAGTGGCAGACGTGACTAAAGAGGCAGATCTCGACCGACTTCTCGACACTACTATCGAAACGTTTGGCAAATTAGATATTTTGGTCAATAATTCAGGGATTGGGAGCTTTTGCCACATATCAGACGCCGATAGGGTGACCAACCGTACAGGTTTGGCCTGTACAGTACAGGAATTGAACAATCTGTTCCGTGTACAGGCAGGGGTCTCGCCTGTACTATATAATGTCCAGGCGAGAAATTGATAAAATTCAGATCATAGTTTTATACTTTTATAGCAGAATTATTATTCTTCAATCTAAAATACGCAATTTTCTTTTAATTTTGTCAAAATTGTATTTAAAATACATTATATTTTAAATTTTAATTAATTTATCTCGTCATAATATACACAATCTTATTTGTACAGGAATGCAATGTATAGTTTGCACAAATTATGATTATCTATAATTATGCTCTGTTGAGAAAATTAGTGTCCAGGCGAGCGTACAGGAAAGTTTACTATAATGTCCAGGAATGTCTCGGAATTTATATAGAAAGTATAGGAAATGTACAGGTTTCTCATTTTTCGAGTTGGTCACTCTAGACGCCGAGTATCTGAAAACTCAACGATCAGTGTTTGAAACAAACCTTAATTCTGTGATATATTTAACCCATAAATCCATACAATATTTGAAGAAAACTAAGGGAAACATAATTAACATTTCCAGTGTCTTTGGCATACAGTCTGTGAGTAGTTTATTAATCCGTTTAATAATTAAAATTGTTGTTTTGTTAGTAAAATAAATTATAAGATTTTTAAAATCATAAAAAATATTTTTAATTATTCCTATCATTAATCTCTGCATTTGGATACTTATATAACTTTACATAATGAACATAAATAATATTTGAACATGTTCATTATTAGGCCAAAGGTATGTCGGGATATGCGATGTCAAAGGCAGCGATGGATATGTTCACCAAATGTATTGCCGTTGATTTGGCCTCAAAAGGCATACGCGTTAATTCAGTCAAGTATTTATAGACTATATTAACATTTTATATTAAAATATAAACTAACCATGATAAAACTATTAAAACAGTCCCGGGGCTGTTCGCACAAACATTATGAGAAATATGCCGGTTACTGGTGAGCAAGGTGGAGCCATTTGGGACGCTATGGAAAGTAAATACCCGGTTGGCAGGTGTGGGCAGGGAGTAGACATTGCCAACGCTGTTGCCTACCTGGCCAGTGATCAAGCTAGTTTTATGACTGGTACAATACTAGTGGCTGATGGCGGCCACCTTGCTGCTAATGTTAACATGGGATTTGATTAATCGATTCATTTTATTTAAATTAATAAATGAAAATAACAAAAATTGAAAGATTGTCTCATTTATAAAATTATTTTATTTTTGTTAAACATTTATATTTATATTTCTACAAAAAATATTTATGAATCACTAAACATAAAATTAAACATAAAACATAATGGTTTATTTATTACCTTTACAATTGTGCATGTTTGTTCATTACTTTAACCGATATTGTAAATATAATTCCCGGTTAAACAAACAATATTTAGTACTTTATATTATATAAAAGTACACTTGGTACCAAACGTGCATAAAATGATTACGCCCAGATTTTAGTACAATTAAAACTAGCTATTAAAGTTTAAATATTCTTAAGAAATAAAGCTACCTATTAAAATACTGAATTAATACAGATATGTATAAATATTTATTTAAACATTTTAACCGGGTTATATCAATCTATACAATTAGATTAGTATAAATATTGCCTAAATTATAATTAAAATAGTTACAGTTGTTTGAATTGAACATGATGAAAATTGTTGTTGGGGTTATAATAATTACGATAGTATGTGTTGTTTGTAAAGGGGCTGCTATTGAGCCAGACCAACAGATTAATAGTTTTAACCGAGATGAATTGGCCGTAAACGAGATACATAATGATCAATCTTGTTTTGGCAGTGGTTTTGGTGGTGGCAATGGGGGCGGCAATGGAGGTGGAGATGGAGGCGCAGGTATGTTGTTGTTTCAATTGAGTTAAATAAGTTTTATTAAGGTATTTTATCTGACACTTATACAGTTTGTAGATAAATAATTATATTTTATAATATATTTTACATCCTAGTTAATTTTTAAAATGCATAAAAACATTTCAATTTTATTTATGTGTTTTAAAGTTTATTTTTAAAATTTTTATAAACTTAATTAAGGCGACGAAGACGACAACGGGGTTAGTTTGGTGGACATTAATATAACGATTATACAACAATTATGCAATTATCATGGTGCAATTGACCAATAGTTATTAATTATTAATTAAAGCAACGTTAATTTTTAACCACAATTCAGTATGAATAATGTGGTTAATAGGATCGTTCTGCCCCC